CTCTTATTTACTATATAAGAGAGTTATAAATTGGCCTTCTAAAATGCAAAAAGTTTTTTTAGTGCCAGAACTTTCAGCTGAATGCAGCTGGATTTGTAATACTAGTTTGTTAAAAGTCTTCAATTTCTACACTTTTTATTTTTTTGATGACAGTCTTGGGGCTTGAACTCAGGGCCTAGGTGTTGTCCCTGAGCTTTTTTGCTCATAGATAAGGCTCTCCCATTTGATTCACAGCTCTATTTCTGTTTTTTTGGTGGGTTATTTGAACTAAGAGTTTTGTGGTCTTTGATCCCTTTGAACCGTGATCCTTGAATCTCCTAGCTTTGAAGTAGCTAGTATTACAGGTGAGCTACTGGTACCGGGGCTATCATACATTTTTGTAGCTTGAGAAATCGATTCATTGTTTGTGCTAATTGTGTATACTAACGTTTTTCTTTAGTGTGCTTTAACTTACTCAACTATATTTAAGACTGGGGATTTGGTAGTGACTGAGACAAATAAACAATTGAATATTATTAATTGGTGTGATAGATTTTAGGAATGTAGAAATTTGGTGATAGGGCATAAATTGTGGGAGGTGATTTAGAGCTAAGCTCTAAAAGATGAGTATAAATTAAGAGCTGCTGAGATAATAGATGAACAATTACTTTGAGTAAGAAGGAGTAATTTTTGCAAAGCCCTAGAAGAAATTTGAAGACATTAAAGTGGGCTAGTGTTACCTAGAAGTAGAGTGGCTAGTAAGTTTGTGACAGATGGTTTGAATTGTAGCTAAAAGATATTTTGTTTGTGATTTTTGGAAGATAGTGGTGCTGAGGACTTAACTCACATGCTATATCCCCACGTAGGATTTTGGTTCTTTATGATGAGTTAAGATTTCTAGAAAAGTCAATAGTTTACTAATATCCAGCATTTATAGTCTCAGCAGAAGTCACACATGGTCAAGTAATTTTTTTTGCAAGAACTTGCCTGTTTTAATAATATAAAGACAAGGTTTATTTGAAAATACTTACCAGTTTATAATTTCCCATAGAGTGTTAAAAAGTAAATGTAAGTGAATAAATCTGTAAATGTAAAAATGTTCTAAAATTACTTTTATTAATTTAAATAGCATGGTGGACATACCTTTAAACCTTTGGCCGAGATTTATGAACAACATGTCACTAAAGTGAATGAGGAAGTAGCCAAACTTCGTCGACGTCTTATGGAACTCATTAGCTTGGTTCAAGAAGTGGTAAGATAATTACTACAAGATCACCAACCTTTTTATATTCTATAATTGTGTGTGTATAATTATATAAACCAACATGTTGAAATCAGAATTTTAAGGTTTGAATGTTTGACAAGAAGTTTGTATGAAAGTGTGTGTATATAGATAGATAGATAGATAATCTTTGCAACTTCAGAGTAGCTGAAGAATTTACATCTAAAGTTCTGGTGTATACAGAACATGTTGAAGCCAGAGAATTACTGTTTAGCAGAATTAAAAGGTCAATTAGCCTGTAAGTCTGCTTATTACCATGAATAATTGACTCCTTTTTATCCCCAGCAATTGACTTTTAAGCAGTCAGTATTGGTCTTGTATCGTCATTAAGTTATCCATTTGAATCCCCTGCATTTGGGAGGGTTTTTGCTAAGTTGAAAGAACACTATTCTTTTTTTT